TAGAGGGTGTCCGCTTAATACAGGTTTCACTGTAGTTCTCTCGATGCTGCCGTGAAGAAAGAAGGAGATGAGAAGTTACATGTCAAACTCTCGACTGCAGTTGACAGTAGAGATGCTCATGCAATTGACATCAAATATCATAAAAACTGCTGGACTAAACATGTCACAAATGTGCTTCGTTAACACTCGACCACAACAAACTCGAGCAAGCAAGTGAAGTAGCAGCCAAGATAGAGTTTGTAACCATGGCGGAGATTGCACTGAAGAGTATCAAGATAATGAATATGTCGCAACTACAGGCTGCATACGACACCATCTCGCAGGAAAATAATGTGAAAGCGAAGACATGCAGTCGTAAGGCTATAAAGAAACTTACCCAGGCCGACATAGAAGGCGTTGAGTTCCGCAAGCCCAAACGTGTAAATGAATCAGAGAGGGTAAGCATCAAAGAATCAAGAGATGTTGCCATTCAGTTCACAGTCTGAAACTGCTAATGAAGATTGTACAAGCAACATGACACAAAGATGATCTTACATGCCCTTGATGCTACCGCTAATGGCGCAACTCAACTACAGATTCACTCTCTGGACACAGATGTCTTCGTCCTTGCTCTTAGACGTTATCTGGAATTGTGTGAGAACACGCTGTTTGTCACGGGAAGAGGGCAACACCATCGTATTATTGAGCTGAAACCAACTGTTGAAACTCTTGGCCCAGAGAAGATAGCAGCACTTTCAGCATCCCACGCGCTAAGCTGAGCTGACAACACAGGAAGTTTTTCAGGAAAGGGAAAGCTTCTCTGCTGGAAGATATTTGCAGAAGCAGATTCATTAGATATCACTACCCTTGCAGAACTTGGACAAGCTGCTCATCCAAATGAAGAAATTGTCGCAGCCATTGAGAAGTTTGTCTGTCTGCCATATCAACCAAGAACAAAACTTATGACTTTTAAAGACCTACGATGGCGCCTTTTCAAGAAAAAATAAGCACAATCAGACAGGTTGCCACCAACACAGGCCGCATTGCAGCAGGCAATCCTGAGAGCCCATTACCAGTTGATGGTCTGGAACAGCGACAGAATAACAAACCCAGAGCTACCATCATTGCAGCACTATGGATGGCGGATGGACCAAGAACAATGGGTAACTGTCATGACAAACATGCCACCAGCCCCTTAAGCGATACTTCAACTAGTACAGTGTGGATGCTCCAAAAAAATGTGTTCCACTAACCGTTGCCAGTGCCGCAAGGCTGGTTTAAACTGCAAAAACTTTTGCAACTGCTCCGACAATGGCGTGATGTTCAGGAGGAAGACGTACTCGACTCATATGAAGAGGACAGTTCAGATAGTAAAATGTATATACATGAGTGAACGACATGAACAATCACTAACAGTTTTTATAACTGATAACCATGCTAAGATATCTTTTGGGGGGGGTTAAAGTAGATTTTGATATGCTTCTAAAACTCCTGTGAAAAGTGATTCAAAAATGGCAGGGAAAGTTTATCTGATCCATTGGTTTTGCTAAATTGTCCTACTGTTCTGAAGAAAAAACTAGATGACAGACTTGCTCAAATAAACGAGTGCAAATTACAGAATCTGTTTTTATTTTGATCAAACTGGTTACCTGCCCTATATTTGTCACATTAATATCTCTAAAGGAATTCATAAAACGTAATTATTTTCTAAAACTTTTTCATTGTGGTAAAATAACAAAGGCAACATTTATTATGATGTGCTTTTGTACCAGCCTCGATTTCATGCCAGCGTGGTCACGTGATAACCCTTACCAAATAATCACATTTGATTGCACAGATGATATTCACCTGCATGACTTTTGTCAATCTCTGCCTTCATCAGGTGAAGTTTAAGGGCTACCAGTGCAACTTTTGAGTGAGCCTCGTTTTCGTGCTAACTTGGTCACGTGACCCCAATAACCTCTTAAAATCGTATGTTCGTATTGGAAACATTGATTTGTACAAATGTGTTGTTTTTGATAAAATTTTACTGAAATAATGGAAAGCTATGGACAATTTTATGCTGAGCCTCGTTTCCATGCTGGGATATACACATGACATTTTCCACCCCATATAAATCCCGTCTGAGCAAGTTACAAAGTTGCCACCAAAACTTTTCATGTTATTTAGGGTCCCCTTAACACATTTAGACTAGGGGCTTGCTTTCTTCACGAAATTCCCACGGCATTACACATGCTCCCGGACTATAAAGCGCCAAACAGAAGTCAAGCTCGTATGCATTGGAAACAATTAAGGACTTCTAAGCCGTCGAAAACAAATTATTGTCTTTCAATTGAAATAAGGAAACGAAAAAGAGCGAAATACAAGGTTTGTATACGTGTTTTAAACGGACAGACTAGCTATTGCGTGGTTAGAAATGTCGTTTCGACAAGGTGGACGAAGGACTGAGGTTCCAGCAGCCCTCGGAAAAAGGAAATTAAGCGGGAAGATTGTCGAAGTTTTACTTCCAAAACACAACACGATGAAACCTCAACAAGGACATATCATCGTCCAAGCCAAAACTGTTTGTTTACAAATGGGAGATTATAACAACTTTCATTTTGATGTCGTTGACCTCGGTATGTCCGATGATGTTTCCGAACTGCTCACGAAAGTATCCGACGATGATGAATTGGTTATTCGTGTCTTACGGAGATATGGTGAACCTGAAGAATTTATCTTGAAAAGAAATGCAAGCGTGATTTGTCCATCGATTAACATTTGTGCAGACTTTTTCAGGATTATTCCACCATCAGATGAAAAGCCTAATACAGACTCTTCCTTTGGGATTACAGTTGACTCTCAAATCCACACCAGCGATGCTCAGATCGGAGACTGGAATAAAGCTATTATTAACCCCCGAGAGGGATTTTGCGATGTGTTTGACAGTACTCGGCCAATCCTTCGTGTGCTACGGTCGCCTCCGAAGTTTGTTTCAGTTTCTCTTAATATAAAAGATTTTCCAAACTTCAAGAGGGATCATCGGGTAGTGCTTAAAATTTGCAAGAATCGCATTGATGGCCGAGCTTTGGAATACTGCTTTGAGGATAAAATAAAGAGGCAACAGGGAATAATCTTTTGTAAAAGCTTACGTGGCTTATCTTTGGCCGGATCGAAGAAAATGAAAGGTTTCTATGATGTTGACGTGACGGTAACAGAAAGAAGTCAAAATGAGAAAATGGAAGTCAAAGAAGGAGTGATGTCAAACGCGATGCTAGTTTCGAAAATCTTCGAGGCTTAGTTGGGTTTTGGTTCCGCTTCCACACCGCAAATAAAAGATACATCATTACTTTTTCATTGTGGGAGAAAGATACTAGAGGTGAGAAAAGTGGGGTCCTTCTGGATGAGGTACACATCGATGTTGAAACAGGCGAGCGAAAGCGTTCACCGCTATCAAGACGCAAAAAACTTTTATGCCTCGCCGAGGAGGTCCCTGAAGAGGCATCACTTCCGGGTGAAATTCACAGTGAGCCTACGTCACTTCCGGAGGGGAGCAACAAAGCTGTTGAAGGAAGCGAACAGATTTTACCGAACGATAACGGAAGGTTACCGAGCTTGCCCTTTTCGGAAGAAACAGGATTTTCCGGGAAGAGCTTTGGGAATATAATCACATGACGGCTGGAAAGAGGATTCAAACACCACCTAAAAGGAAAAGACGCAGAAAACTATTATGCCCTGTCACGGGTCCTGCCACGGAGAAACCTGAAGAGACATCACTTTTGGGTGAAATTCACAGTAAGCCTACGTCACTTCCGGAGGGGAGTCACAAACTCGAAGAAAACGAACAGTGTCTGCCCGTTTCGAAAGAAACAAAATTTCCCGGGGAGAACCTTTCGGGATATAATCACATGACGGCTGAAAAACTCAAACAAACACTTGCACCACCTAGCAGGAAAAGTCAACGAAGTCATTTATTTAAAAGGGATTATTGCAATGGTGAAGCGCGGTTACAAGGTCTAACTTCCCAATTTATGTCAAAAGAAATGCCACTTCCGGCGGAAGTTGACGGTTCGGTCTATGAGCAGAGCCTGCGAATTATGGAAGTTTTGGGAGATTTACGCGATAACGGAAAATGGGAAGAATTCGATTGCGAAGCTGATCAGTTGCTTAGGAAATTTTTTGACTGCAATGACCTTCTGATTACTGTCATTCTTGAACAAGGAAAGGCTGCTTGCTTTCGAAACGACCAAACATCCGCTAAGGATTTTATTAAGAAAGCATCGTTGAAAATTCGGCAGGAATCTTGTAGCTTGGTATCCCTGTGGAAAGGTCGGGCGAATACCTATCTGGCGGAGATTTACGAAAGAGATAAGCTGGCATTTGGTAATGCACAGCGATGCATCACGTCTGCGAAGAAGCATCTAAAGAACACATGCTACCTTTTAGACCGTGCCTGCCTTGCTTGCGAAGAGGGCAGTCTGCTTCTCCAACAGTCTCACTTCAGGTCATCCATGGCGGAAGAATCCAGGCGTTGCTTTGACAGCTCTATCGAGTTATGCAACCTTGGCTTAGAAGAAAGCCCCAACATCCGTCTGCTTCTAAGAACGCACGACCTGGCAGTGACGAAGAAAGCTATGCTTCTTCTGCATTTTTCCAAAGATTACGGACCGGGCGGAAACTTAGTGAATGAAAAAACACTTCTTGAGGCAAGGCAGTGTCTCGAGAGTCTAAAACTCGCCTCCGTTACGGAAATGACGAAGACCGCACAAGTTCAATATCATTTTGGTCGTTCGGACCAATACTTCCGGGAGCAGCGTACCGTTGATGCTATTTCGCATGCGCAAACTGCATTTGATTTGTCACGTCAGTTTGGCTTTGACACCTGTGCTGCAGCTGAAGTTCGCCTGAATTTTTTATTGCAGTTTTCCAATTCCAATTGAACCTATAGCGACGAAAAGAACTTGACAGAGTAGCAGTTATATTTATTTATTTGATATAGATATTTGGTATGGTTGTCATGGAATAGTATAAGTTTTATATATAGAGAATACTTCATGGAAAGTGCTGGCGTACGGTATTTACGCACGAGTTGTTGACGTATCAGAAATCGAACGAGTGAGCGCAGCGAACGAGTAAGATTTCTGATACAAAAACAACGAGTGCGTAAATACCGTACAAAGCACTTTCCATGTGGTATTGTGTTTATTATATACATACTGAGTCATTCATCATTTTGCGGGCCTTTTTATTTTAAATCTTTCAAAAATGCTAAAGTTTGCCGCTACACACTTACCGCAAAATGACAACGAAAACGAAGTATCAGCTTTTTAGTAAAAACGTTTGTTAAAAACATAAATGACGGTGAGGATATGAGGTTTAATCCAAGAACTATAAGTAATCTTAACTGTTTGTTCTCAATGCACAATTGAAAATGAGTGAATTTAAGTAAAATGGCCGGTTTCAATATAAGCTTAAGCTTAAATGAAAGGCAAAGTAGCTCCGACAAAAAGCACAACAAAAGCTTACGTCTCGTTCTGTTTATCCCTTTCCGCTGTTGTTTCGCCGGCTCTCTACCGTATTTTTTTTATCGACAGTGAAACAAACGAAACTATTCCACTCCATTTCCGAAATGTTTTTCACTTTTTTAGCGAGAAAAACTCCTTGAGTAAAACTTTTCTCGTTGATAAATGTGTGCGAAGCGGCGCTGCAAGCTGCAATAAAAGGCGGGAATTTTGGCGCGAAACTCGCACACCTCTGTGGCTTCTGATTGGACGTATCATTTTTCTCACACGTGAAAAAACATCGTTCGCGATTCTGATTGGACGTATCGTTTTTTTCACGTGTGAAAACCATCGTTCGCTCCTCTGATTGGCTATAACTAATTTGCGTACGAAAATTTACGACATAGCTTTTTGGTGAGTATTTCTCAGTATGTATATAATAAATATATATATATTCATAAGGTCTTATTTGATAAATGTGTGACAAATGTGAAAAAAGCACTCAAAACTGTTTCCTGAATTAAAAGAGTAGTTTTTCTCGAATAAAGGACCGTTTTGTGCGGTCACGTCTGGTCTCTTTTTCCTGACAGAGAACATTTCATGAAATTTCAAAATTCTATGATACTTCTTTAAAATGTTTAATACTAATACTTAATTTGATAGAAAGGTAAAAACAAAACGATGGGTATTTTTCCGAGATTGTCATTAAAAAAAAATAATTGAATAGTGATGATGATGATGATGATGATGATGATGATGCTGATGATGATAATGATGATGATGGTAATCATGCCATTTGGCCGCTCATTTTTTATTTTGGCGGCCATACCGTGACGCTATACCCGAGAGCTTTTGCGCTGCCTCGAAAATCATACGGGATAGGGCTTCTGTTCACACGCAAGTTAAGAACGGTTGTGGCGGCGTGATTTCTGTGACGGAGCAAAGCTGACGCCCTGCTCCGCGCCGATCTCGAAAGTGGAGCGTCACATATCGAATAGGTTTTGTGCCATTAACGTTGGTGCAGTGTGAGCACCTATTCGGCCCGTGGCGGAAGTAATAGGGATCTTAAGATCCGACGACGGCGACGGCAACGGGAACATCACAAAAGCAATAGGTTTAATAAGCAAAACAACAATTTTGCACGTGCATCACGCTTTTTTGTACATTTCTTTGCCGTCACTGCACGACTACGACGTGAAAATGCCTAATTTCACGACGCACAGAGGAAGTATGCAAGCGACGACGAAATTTCCTCTCTCTTTCTGAACTTGGATATGGTTCTTAGGAATTCAACTTTAGGACAGTTCGCCTACATTTGACAAAGTTTGTGACTTGGACTAATCGTGATGAAGATTGAAAGAACGTGAATTCACTTTTTTAGCGACGTTTTCTCTGCCGTCGCCGTCCTCGGATCTTAAGGTCCGTAATAAGTAGGAGCGAGGCCTAGAGCCCACTGAGACGGAAGTAAATATTCAGGAGTGAGGACTGGAATTAAGTGCACCAAAGCCTCTCGGCCTTCCGCCAACCGAGCCGGCATGATGTTGGATGTGTACCGTGAACAACACCGCGGCAAAACGCACTGCGCATGAGCACAAAATTAAACATCCGGTCAGTTTTTTATTTCCGTTCTAGTATATAAACCAATTACGTAAGCATAACTTTGCCGTCGCGCCAAGTTTAAAAGCAAAAAGGGAGAAACAGACAAAACAGGGGGCGAAAAAAACACTTCATTTGATAGCTTATATATTTTTCTAGTGTCAAACTTTTGCACCACATGGTTATCTGGTTGCACCAACGGTGAAAATGATGTTTGAAGTTTGTACGTCGCTAGCGCTCGACATGACGAATTTGTTTTTATTGGCTTTCTTGCGTGCTACTGGTTTGGCATAAGTTAATTTCGGGGAGATCGAAGGCGATAACTAAGAAAAAAATAGCAATACTTATGAAAGAAACCAAAAAAAAGACGTCATTATTGTCATTAACACTAGAACCAGGAAATATAAGTTTAGTCCGTTCAATCAAAGAAAACAAGAACTGGCTTTGGAGGTGGGGAAAAGCGCCCTGGGGACGAGGTTACCCAGGCCGTTGCTGTTCATACATATACTATACCCGAACAGTTTCCGTGGTGCCACGAAAAGCTATGCGATATCTAGTGTGAGGATAACCTGAGTGAAATTGCGTGAAAAACATGAATTGATAATACATTACCACGTTTTGTCATTTGCTCAAGGCGCTCTAGATCTCTTTGAATGTTTTTAATCATACTAACGAGCCAAGATTGTCAGTGGTCATTGTTACGTACACCTCCCTGTTCCGATCACGTGTTGGGCAAATTACTTTCAAACTTTCTTGCCTTATCACCGCATGTGTGAGTTTTAAAAATACGTGCGCTTTTAGTGACGAGAACCAGCAGGAGAATGACCGGCTATTGAAAACCGCCCAGCCCACGAAGAAAATCAAACTCGACGAACCATGCCGAAGGCCGACCGAAGCCTCAGACATATAGAAAGAATTGCCCAACAACGAAAATTACTGATTTTGACTTCAAGTATGAACAGAGTGGCAGAGGCAAAAATCATTTAGTATCCAAAACATGGACGGACTTGCGTTTTGGTCAATATGTGGACTTCGTTTAATCCAGCCATTAATTTTCTAGAAAGGACAAAGTCCTCGATTTACGAAGACGACCTAAGTTTAGCTATTTCGTCGGTTTATTTGTTATTAATTCTATGGCAACTGATATCCCGTCATGATTTTCTACTGAACAGCAAATACAAAATGTGCTTTCTGCTGGGTGATT